GTTAAATGCCTTTCTTTCCCTTCCCCAGATGGGGAAGGGAGATAAAGGCATTCTAAACATGCCTGGGTTCCCCGCCCTATCTTTTCCAGGTGCCCTGCGGCCCCGGGGCACTTGGAGAAGATCAGGCAGGGAACTCAGGCATGCTTGCATGTCTGCCCTTTGTCAGGGGGTGTGGCATATGCAAATGAGCTGTGCAAAGGAACTCCTGCACCTCTTTTTCTAGGAAATGACCCCTAGTAGAACAGTGTTCCATGCGCCTCAGCGTCGAGTCATGCCGGCCACATGACCATGGAGAAGTCTTCGGACAGCGCTGACTCTTCGGCTTGGAAACGGAGATGAGCAGCGCATCCCTAGAGTCGGATTCGACTGGCTTTCGAGCAAGGGGAACCTTTACCTAGTTCTCCCTTACATCTATTGTGGTTCTGAGCTTTGTAACGCGCGTTAATTTACTGGTTTTCTGCTATACCCATGGATTGTTCTAGCACTTTGTATGTTATTGCACTTTCGTTGTTCTTAACAAAATTTCAATAATTTTATTGTATAAAATTAAGCAGGCCGTGTGGCTCTTGTCTTTGCGCTCAGCCTGTATTTACTTAAAGGCAAATCCTCTCCTCCTCAAACTCTGCCCTCCAGAGGAACTCCAGGATCTGCCCAGCCTGCAGTTGGCAACCCAAAAAGGCCAGCAGGCGGTGCTCTGGTGGCATAACTCAGTGTCTGTCCATTCCAGTTGCCATTTGTACCCTATGCCATGGATGCCACTTGGAGGCCGACCACGCAGGGCTGGGGAGGGGACCCACGGAGCTTGCGCTGGCGCAGGAGGGAAAGGCCCCGATCCCAGGTGTGAACTAGGGCTCACCCGTCTGCTTTCCTTGCCGTGGGGCCCTGTGCCTCCTGCGCGGCTCTGAAGGGACCTGACCCACTGAGCAGGGGCCAAGTCGTGGAGCAGGACTGGCCTACCTCACAGGGTTGTTGTTGTTGTGGGGGAATGGAGGATGGGGAGGGCGACATTCCCAGCCTCTTTGAGTCCCAACTGTGGGGAGAAAAACGGGAGATGAGTCAATCAGTGCAAATCTGCTGGACAGGCAAGGTGGGGCTCCCAGCCCTTGGGACGGGGGGGGGGAGGCTGGGTGAGTTTATTTTTATGCTCTATTTTTTGAAAGTCGCTTCTCCTGTGGGGGGTGGGCCCACAATTCCTGGGGAAGGGAAGGTTGGGGGCTTAAGGTTCCCAGCACAAAAAACTCCCTCACACACGCATAATACCAGGGCCCTCCTTCAGATGGTCGGTCCTCGGGGGGAGAAGTGGTCAGCAGGAAGCAGCTGCCCAGGGATGGCTTTTGTTCAGGCAGGAAGCGGTTCTGGGGTGACCCGGCCTGACCCTCCCTTGGCTGGCAGAGAGAGCCCAGCAGCCAGTCCGGAAGTCCCCAGCACTAGGCAGAAAGTCAGGCTGCAGCTGGCCGGATGGGTGGGGCGTTCGGTCCCGGGCAGCAGTAACACAGGTGTAGCGCCAAAGATTTCTGTCTTTCAGGGCCTTCTATCCCACATCGGAAAGACCCCGTCCTCCAGGCAAAGGCCATCAAAGGGAGACTCCAATGGGAAACGGCTGAAAGGGAATTCATCGCAGAGAGCAGATTGGTGCCATAGTTAGAGTATCCCTACAAGAATCGGGGGGGCATGGATTGGACTCCCAAAATCCACTATGGGAGCTTGCTGGGTGACCTTTGACTCATCACACACTCTCAGCCTGCCTCGCAGGGAGGCAAATCCTTGTGCTCCCTTGAGTTTGATGCCAGCCTGGGTCTAACTCTTTGCTTGCTTACAAGCTGTGGATTTCTTAGCTGTCACATGGGAAGACCAGAGGCCTTTTGGACGGGAGAGTCGCCAGAATGAGGGAAAGCGGAAATATTACCGGGCAATTATTGCTAGAAATAAGAATGAGTCCCAAACAACGTTAGCTTTATTGAAACAAGGTGAGGGTAAGTATAGCTCAGGGAACGTATAAAGAGGCAGTTCTGTCATAGCAGGCACCCGTGAATTATTATTGCTTAAAAGCCCCAATTGATCCCGATTTCTTCCTCTTCCCCCATCCCTCGACCAGATCAAAAAGGAGCCAGCCTATCCGATCGGTTTCCTGCCGTTCAGAGCGACAGCTTCCTACTTGTCCCAAAGTGCACTGAGATCAGATATTAGCGTGTGCGTGTCCTCCTTTGGCCCAAGTTTCAGACCCTCCTTTTCTGGTTCACCCCGGTGTCATTTCCTCCATTCCACAGGAATCTGTTTCTTCCTGATGCAGACAAACTCTCAATGCAAAAGAAGCAGACCACTACTGGCCAGACCCTCAGACCAGTGTTCCCTCTAAGCTGAGTCAGTGTGAGCCAGCTCACAATTTTCTAGCCTGTGGCTCACACATTTTTGTCTTCGCTCAGGAAGGTTGGGGCTCCAGAGCAAACTAGTTTATACAGCGGCCAAATCGCTCGCTCACAGCTTTAATGCCAGGAGCTCACAAAGTCGAATTTTTGCTCACAAGACTCCGCAGCTTAGAGGGGAGCATTGCCTCAGACTCCAGGACTGCCAACTTCCAGGAGAGGCTTGGAGATGTCCAGGAATTATGACTGATCTCCAGACTGCAGAGATCAGTTCCCTTAGAAGAAATGTCTGCTTTGGACCTTGCTGAGGTCCCTCCCTTTCCCAAACTCCACCCTCCCTAGGCTCTACCCCCCAAAAAAATATCCAGGAATTTCCCAACCTGGAGGTGGCAACCCTAGAGACTCCCCCTTGGTTAGTTTCAGGGGTCATTTCCTGCGGGGGCATACAGGAGCGGAGCTCCGGCAGTAAGGAACCCAGGGGGGTGAGCACATGCAGCAAGCCCTGCCCCCTGCTCCCAGCAGCCCTCAGTCGGGCCACGAGGAGCAAGAAGCAGCCAGGTAAGTTGCAGAGCCCCCCCCCTCGGCCCGCCTTCAGGTACAAGCTCTCCCTCCTCTGTGAGGGCAGATCTGCACGTTCCCCCCCCCCCCCACTAGCCAGATAAAAGCAGTCCAGGGGAGCCTGAGCGGTGGGTGTTGCCTTCTGACACACTTCCAGTGATGTCAGGGGGTGTGGCATATGCAAATAAGTTATGCTAATGAGTTATGCTAATGAGCTCCTTCACTTCTTTGTCTACAAAATGACCCCCGGTTAGTTTATGTGGACCGAGTGACCAAGACATTGGCAAGGGATTTCCTGTGCCTTCTACCCTCTGCCTGGGAAGCGGCAAAGATATCAGGACTTCTTCAACAACAGCATCCATCCAACCCCTTTCGTGGGAGCCCAGCTTATTTCTGGAGAGAGAGAGGCTGAAGATTCCAGGCCCCAGAACCCAGGAGCTCCTTCTCGTTTCTGGATATATCTCTAGAGGGGTCTTCGATCCCCTCCGTTATAACATCTCTTCAGTGTAAGGACAGATACAAACGAGGAAGCATTAAGTGCATCGTAATGACAAATGTTTTTAAAGGCAGACAAAAAGACAAGGGAAAGTCACCCAGGAAAAGAACAGTCTTTAAAAAAAAAAAAAAAGATTAAACATGTCAAATATACACTGGACGTTCTCTTGATACTAATAAATCCCCTTAAGTTAGCATGAGAAGTTCACCACCCAGTTTGTTCGAAGATGTGACCGGCTGGCATTCTACCGGGCAAAAAAGCAGGGCGTCTCCTGGCAGGGGGGTCTCTGAGATGGCCAGAGCCCAAGCAAGGGTTTAGGGTGGCACCGTGATGCCCTCCAGGGGCTTGGTTCACTCCTGGCCACCGGCGGTGCCGGAGGGCAGAGACCGCGGCTCCCGGGCCCACCCTACTGCCAGCTGGGTCCACGCCCAGCCCCTGCCAGTTTGCCACAAGAGCTCGGCACTAGACTGGCTGGTGCCCACATAAACATCTTGCTAAGTAACAGGATGCAAGGCAGGGCGACCCCTTCTCCTTAGCTCTGCCTGCAGAGCTGGGTGGAACTGAGACACCCCCGTGTCCCTTCTCTACCTGTGAGAGGGGTCAGGGGCTAGGGCGGGGGAGGTGGGGGGGGTCACTCCGATATAACGAGTTGGTTGGCAGTCGGGAGGTGGGTCTTTCCTCCCTCTCCACGACCCCTTTGTGTTCTGGGGAAAGATGCACACTCACAGACACCCCCACACCCACTCTTTGGAATAAAGCCTAGAGAAGAGTGGTAATAAAATAACAGTGTAGACATTCCAAACCTGTTGAAACGTCTCCATCACGGGTCCCCGGTGTGCCTGGGTGCCTGCCAACACCTTTCCAGGTGCCCGCCGAGAGTTTTTAGAAAGTGGGTGGGAATAAGTGGGGCTTTTGCCCCGCAAGGCTTCTGACTGGCCGCCAGAGGTATGATTGGCTGCACAGGTTTTTTAAAAGCAATGTTGCTTCGGCCGCAGCTGCCAAGGATCTTTACTACGTGGTTGAAGGCCAGCCGTGGCAGCCATTTTGCGGTCATGCCCACCATATCGCATCACAATTCTGAAGGTGCCCGAGGGTTCAAAAAAAGGTCAGGGACCCCTGGTCTACATTGTCTGAGATTTGGATCTCAGGATCGGGGATGTTTTTGGGTCTGGGCGGGGCCTGAGACGAACAAGCCACCCCTTACTCTCTCCAGACACTATGAATATTCAGGGGTCATTTTGTGCGGGAACACGCAGGAGCGGAGCTCCGGCAGTAAAGAGCCCAGGGGGCGGGCACATGCAACAAGCCCCGCCCCCTGCTCCCAGCAGCCCCGGGCCACGAGGAGCAAGAAGCAGCCAGGTAAGTTGCAGTGGGTATTGCCTTCTGACACACTTCCGGTGATGCCAGGGGGTGTGGCATATGCAAATAAGTTATCATAATGAATTATGCTAATGAGCTCCTGCACCTCTTTTTCTACCGAATGACCCCTGTGAAAATATCGAACGAGGCGTGGAATGCACATTCCCAGAGAGCGGAATCAAAAGCTCAGGATGGGATTCGGTCCCACCGATATCTCAGCCCGGAGGTGGATTGGCGGCTGGCGGGGGGTTGGGGTGGGGAAGCAGTGCCTCTCCCACTTAGCAGAGGGTGGCGTACGGACCGTCAAGCACTTTGTAGCGGATCTTGGTGTTGGTGATGGCGCCGTGCTTCTGTCGCAGGTGAAGCCGCAGCTGGCTCTTGTGGCGGAAGCGCAGGTTGCATTTCTCACACTGCCAAGAACAGACCGGGGTCAAGTTGGCTCCAAGACTGCAGGTGACGCAGCCTCTGAACGGCTGGTATTCCTCTGAAACTCTCCACTGGGTTTGCAACGATTTGCTATGGATGAACAGGGGGTGTTGCTCTTTCCTTACATCTCTCTGGTGAAAACACCAGGTTCATTGGGAAATTAGAGCCACTAAGGACTGCCAGGGGATTGCATGTTCTGGATCCACCCACTAGGCTTCACTTCCCTTATCAGGAAGAGGACTCAGGTGTCCCGCCTTCCTGCCCTTTCCCCAAACAGGACACTGCGATAATGTAAACCAACAATTTATCCCATTTCCTTTGCATTGTTGAGGGGTTGTGTTTTCAGTGGCTTTAAAAACACAGTCATGGTATTTCAGACCATTGGTCCAGCACAGCCAATGTTCCCTCTAAGCTGTGGATTCTCGTGAGCAAAAATTCTACCTTGTGAGCTCCTGGCATTAAAGTTGTGTGAGTGAGTGATTTGGCTATTGCATAAATCAGTTTGCTCTGGAGCCACATCCTTCCTGAGCTAAGACAAAAATGTGTGAGCTGGAGGCTAAAAAACTGTGAGCTAGCTCACACTCACTCAGCTGAGAGGAAACACTGATCACAGCCAGTATGACCTACTCAGACTGGCGGCGGCTCTCCAGGGTCTCAGGGAGAGAAAGTTCTTTCACATCTCCTACTTACTACCTGATAATTTTAGCTGGAGATGCTGGGGATTGAACCTGGGACCTTCTGCATGCCAAGCAGAGGCTCTGCCACTAAGCCACAGCCCCTCTTCCTCTTCTACTCTATTACATCTAATGAAACGTTTTAATTTTCTTTTCCTTTTCCCCTCCTCAAACTTTCAATTGATCCATAACGTCTTTATCTAATAAAGAGATCCCCCCCCCCCCAACAAAAGATAGTAACTCTCGAAGGTTTTTTGCCTGGTCCTCTGGTAAGAGCCCAGAGAACAGACCTCACAATTAATTCAATTGTGCTATTGAATTAAGGGTTGCAAACAGCCTTAATCCGATAGGTCCCGGAGACATCTGGGACTCAATAGTTGAAAAAACAATTCTGGGAGAACTCCTTGGTCCAGATTCTCTAATTGGACGTAAGAGCACATTATCTCATTAGAGACAGATAGAAAGAAAATTTCAAGTGAGAACAGAAATGAAAATGTTTCATTGTGCCTACCTCTCTGTCTCAGGGGAAAGCACATGATCTTCTCAGAATTTAAGGGCTTATTACATTAACTTCCCACTGTTTTTCTGTGTCCCTTCCACGAGGTCCCTGCAAATCTCATTTGCCAAGAGTCTTCTATGGGGAGGGATATGTCTGAGCAGTCTGAGCCAGAAAAGATCCCAAGTTTCCCCAAAATTCCATCCACCCCTTAAAATCAGGAGAAGATTTCCCCCCTCAATCTTTCCCAGGTCTGCTCCACACCCACCCCACACTTACAGCCTCCTTCCAGAGGGCCCCCAGCTCCTATAGCTATGGGGTGGATGGAAAAGCTCATAGCAGAGCCATCTGAAATGGGCCCTAATCCTGGGCCTGCAGCATTGTTTATTGGGGTGTGTGTGTCTCTGCTGGCAGATGGAATTGCTTTTGTAATCCGCCTTGAGTCCCAGCTGGAAAGGTGGACTACAGAATGAAGTTAATAAACAGCAGCAGCAGCATCAGAAGCCTCCTGTCCTGCAAGGGGCCGAATCCCAGGGCCAGGCTTTTAAGGCCTGTGCCGTAGGGCCCCCGCAGACGCCTCCTTGCTTGAGCCCACCTCACCTGGTAAGGCTTCTCGCCTGTGTGGATGCGGATGTGGCTCTTGAGGGTCTGCAAGTGTCTGAAGCGTGTCCCACAGGTGTCACAGGGGTAGGGCTTCTCCCCAGTGTGGATCAGGACGTGGGCCCGCAGGTGAGCTACCTGGGAGGAGGAGGAGGAGAGGGGAAAGGAGATTGAGGAGGAAAAAGAAGAGACTGGATTTATACTTCACCCTTCACTACCCAAGGGAGTCTCAGAGCAGCTCACAAACTCCTTTCCCTTCCCCGCCCCACAACAGACACCCTGTGTAGGCAGGGCTGAGCGAGCTCTGACAGAAACTGCTCTTTTTCAAGGACAGCTTTGACAGAATTCTGGCTTGCCCAAGGTCATCCAGCAGCTGCGAGTGGAGGAGTGGGGAATCTAACCCGGTTCTCCCAGATTAGAGTCCACGCACTGAACCACTACACCAAACTGGAGTGTTGGCATGAAAAGTTTGCCGCAGCAAATTGTTAAAAGAAAAGGACAACTTGAGTGCAATTGACAACCGTTCATTGAAAGCTTGGCCAGGTATTTAAAAGATTCCTGGGTGTCCTAGAGGTGTGAGAGACACCTGGGTGAGTTCTGGCACCAGCTAAGACCAAGGCAGCAGGTCTATGCCATTGTTGCGTCAGGCAAGGATGGTGGAAGCCGGAAGCAGGGACTTCTCTGTAATGGCCCCTGAACCTCTTCTGGAGACTGTTCTTGAATGCCATTTTGGGGATTCTACAAAGGATGCAGATCTCTCCTTTCTGAAAAGGCATTTGAGTGAGTCAGGTATCTGTCAGGCCCTCTGTCTTGCAGACAGGACCCCAAAGAGAGTTGGGACTCTCTTGCAGGGGGGTTGTGAGGCCAGGAGGGAGGAGCTGGAACAGGGTCAGGAGACAGGGGAGGCTGTGGGAGGGTTGGTTATAAGTCTGAGAGTGCCTCTAACAGAACGGTCACAAAATACAGCCGGTTGTGCAAACACTATTTTACAAAAACAAATAGTCAACATGAAAAAGAGAATGTGAACGAATTCGACATTAACTGATGCCTTGCGTTTTGTGCTGGAAAGGGGGGGAATTAGCATGGAGTTTCTTTGCAAGCGGATCTTGAAAAGTAGAACAGCAACATAGAATGCTAAACAAAGTTACAGCCCAAAGTCAGCATGGCTCTGCTTACGACTGCATGGAGTGTTTAGAATCTGGCCTCACACACAATCCAGGGAACCGCCAGCTTGCGGGGTGACCTGTTTTGTCTTTCTTGTTATTTTGATGTATGTATTTTTTCGGTGACATGGATGCTGCTGGTTTACTGCAGCTGAGATAACGTAAATACAGACTGATCTCAGTGGCTTTCATGCTGCATTTGGAAATGTCTTTGTGCAAGAGGCAAACAGCTGGGGTGCATGAGATACGCGTGCGTGTTCTAGTATGTTAACTTCCACATCCGTTTTTAATAAACCGGTTTCCCACCATGTATTAAGAAAGTTGGCATGTTTTTAAATGTCTGTCCTCTGCTCTGAGCCTGCAGGTAAATAAACAGTGTAAAGGAATAACTTTAAAAGGTGTGACCGTGACGGAGTGTGTTGAGGTCGCAGCTCATGCTGGAGTGACCTTAACTGGCACTACTAGGAGGCGGGGTTCCAGGACCACGGGCCCATAACTCACATCAGCTGTGCCCTTGCCAGCATGTCGAATGGTAAGACCACGGCCACCCGCTCTCACCTCCCGCAATACTTCTCACCTGCACGAAGCGAGAGCCACAGGTCTCACACTTGAAGGGCTTCTCCCCCGAGTGGATGCGCAGGTGAGTCTTGAGGTTGGCTGGCCGGTTGAACTGGGCCCCGCAAATCCTGCAGCGATAAGGTTTCTCCCCTGAGGGTGAGAGGCAGGCCATGGACTGGTCCTGAAAGCTGGTAGGAGCAACTTGCGCCTCCCTTTCTTTTGACACCCCCGGCTCATGCCTGGTCAGCCGCCAGAAATGGCCAGGTGACAACCAGGCCTTAGAACTTCTTTCTTTCTTTCTTTCTTTCTTTCTTTCTTTCTTTCTTTCTTTCTTTCTTTCTTTCTTTCTTTCTTTCTTTCTTCCTTCCTTCCTTCCTTCCTT